TAGTAGTCGAAGAAGTAGTCGTAGTAGTAGTAGTCGTAGTAGTAGTCGTAGTCGTAGTAGCAGTCGTTGTAGTAGTAGTAGTAGTAGTAGTAGTAGTCGTAGTAGTAGTAGTAGTCGCCGTCGTCGTAGTCGTAGTAGTCTACGTACTAGTAGTTGTAATGGTAGCAATAGTAATGGTAGTAGTAGTAGTAGTAGTAGAAGTAGTAGCCGTAGCAGTCGTAGTAGTAGTAGTAATGATATTACTATTAACCATAATAGTCGCATTAGCATAAGTAGTAGTAGTGGTAGTCGTAGAAGTAGTAATAGTAGTGGTCATACAGCAGCCGAAGTAGGAGGAGCAGTTGCAGAAGTAGCAGCAGTAGTAGTAGTAGCCTTAGTGATGGTAATACGACTCGTAAAAAGAGTAGTAGTAGCAGTAGTGGTAGTAGTTGTAGTAGTAGTATGAAAAGTAGTAGTAGTAGTAGTAGTAATAGTAGTAGTAGTAGTAGTAGTCGTAGTAGTAGTAGTAGTAGTAGTAATAATAATAGTTGTAGTAGTTGTAGTAATGGTAATCGTCGTCGTAGTACGAGTCGTCCCACTATTGTTTTTCATAGTAGTAATAGCAGTAGCCGTGGTAGTAGTAGTAGTAGTAGTAGTAGTAGTAGTAGTAGTGGTAGCGGCACTAGTAGTAGTAGTAGTAGTAGTAGTAGTAGTAATCGTAGTGGTAGTAGCAATAGCAGTAGCAGTCGTAGCAGTAGTAGTAGTAGTAGTAGTAGTAGTAGTAGTGGTAGCCGTAGTAGTAGTAGTAGTAGTAGTAGTAGTAGTAGTAGTCGTAGTAGTAGTAGTAGTAGTAGTAATAGTAGGTCGTGGTAGCCGTAGTAGTAGTAGTAGTAGTAGTAGCAGTAGCAGTAGCAGCAGCAGCAGTAGTAGTACCAGTAATTGCCGTGGGCGTAGTCATCGTAGGAGTCGTAGTAGTAGCAGCAGTAGTAGTGATACGAATAATAGTAGTAGTGGTAGTAGTAGTAGTAGTAGTAGTAGTAGTACAATTTGTATTAGTCATAGTAGTAGTAGTAGTAGTAATAGTAGTAGTAGGAGGAGGAGTAGTAATAACAATAGTAGTAGTAGTAGTAGTAGTAGTAGTAGTCGTCGTAGTCGTCGTCGTAGTAGTAGTAGTAGTCGTAGAAGAAGTAGTAGTAGTAGTAGTAGTAGTAGTAGTAGTAGTAGCAGTAGTAGTAGTAGTAGTAGTAGTAGTAATAGTAGTAGTAGTAGTAGGAGTAGTATTATCAGTAGTAGTATCAGTAGCCGCAGTAGTAGTAGCAGTAGCAGTAGCAGTATAGAAGAAGTAGTCGTAGTAGTAGTAGTAGAAGAAATAGTAGTAGTAGTAGTAGTAGTAGTAGTAGTAGTAGTAGTAGTAGTATTATCAGTAGTAGTATCAGTAGCCGCAGTAGTAGTAGCAGTAGCAGTAGCAGTATAGGAGAAGTAGTCGTAGTAGTAGTAGTAGTAGAAAAAATAGTAGTAGTAGTAGTAGCAGTAGTAGTAGTAGTAGTAGTAGTAGTAGTAGTAGTAGTAATAGTAGTAGTAGTAGTAGTAGTAGTAGTAGTAGTAGTAGTAGTAGTAGTAGTAGGGTTGCACCTGGTCTTAAAACGTCAGTTTTACACCTGTCCTTCGTGTCGACGTCGGATTTGGAGCAAGCGCCACTGCCAGCTGCTTCATTTCGGCACAACCCTCTCGAGGATCGTGGGCCTGGCCCTCCGACGCGCGATTCCGGCGCGCACTTCACTAGGATCGTGGCCCTGGTCCAAGTGGGAGCGCTGCCGAAGGCCCACCGACGTCCAATTCCGGCACGCCGCTCACGAGGATCGTGCCCTGGCCCACCTTGGAGCGCTGCCGACGGCCCACCGATGAAGCAATATCGGCGCACCCCGCACACGAAAAGAGGCGGTTCTACCGCTGCTGGCGGAAAAAAACGGGGGGGGGTTTCCCTACGGTTCGAACCCCTCCCCCCCCCCCCTCCGGAAAAACGGGTGGGGGTCACTACGGTTCGACCCCCTCCCCCCCCCCATCCAATGATGAAACGGAGGGGGGCGATGATTCACTACCGGTTCGAACCCCCCCCCCCCCCTCGAAAACCGAGCGGGGGCGCGGACAGTGGCGGGGGCGGTGTTGGCGGGAACAGCGGTGAGGGGACAGCGGGACAGCGGCGGGGACAGCGGGGGGACAGTGGGACAGCGGTGGGGACGGCAGTGGCGGGGACAGTGGTGGGGACAATGGTGGGAACAGGGGGGACAGTGGACAGTGGTGGGAACGGTGGTGGCGGGGACAGTGGTGGGGACAGTGGGAACGAGGTGGGAAAACTAAGACAATGGAGGGTACAATGGTGGTGGGGACACTGGTAAAGGCGTCGGCGAGGACGGCGGTGGGACAATGGGACAGAGGTACTGCGGGGACAGCGGTGGGGACAGTGGGGACAGCGGTGGGAACAGGGGGACAGCTCAGTGGGACAGCGGAGGAGTCAGTGGGACAGCGGGGACAGTGGGGATAGGCAGTGGTTGGGTCCGTGGAGACAGTGGGGAGAGTGGAACCGCTGTGGGAACAGTTGTGGGAACAGTGGGGACAGTGCGACAGTGGTGGGGGCACTGGTGGGGACAATAGGGACGGCGGTGGAACCAGCGGGGGCAGTGGTGGTGAGGACAGCGGCGCTGGGAACAACAGTGGGGGATGTCATGCGAGCGGCGGTAGGGACCGGGAGTCGTTTGTTGGCGGTGCGCGGGGGGGGGGGTCGAAACCGGTAGTGACCCCCCTCAGGTTTCGAGGAGAGGGAGGGGGGTCCAACCGGTAGTGAACCCCCCCGGTTTTCCGGATCCGGAGGGTGGGGGGGGGAGGGTGTTCGAACCGGTAGTGACCCCCCCCGGTTTTCGAGGGGAGGAGGGGGGGGGGGGGGGGGGGGAGGGGTCAGGGTAGGAGCGGGGGTTTTGCCGGGAGGGGGGGGGGGGGAGACCCCGGGCTCTGGAGGAAAAGGTTGGCAATTTTCCACAGTAAAGCGGCGGTGGATCACGCTCTCTCCCTCGCACGGATCGTAGACCTCGCCACATTTGGATCGCCGCCCGACGCTGAAGTTCGGCACACCTTTCACATGGATCGTGGCCCTGGGCCAATGTGGAGCGCTGCCGACGGCCCGCCGACGCCCAATGCCGGAACACCCCATCACGAGGATCGTGGCCCTCTGGTCCACTTGAGAGTGGGTTTTCATAAGGACGCCGTTCTGGTTTCATTCGGGAAGGCATTTTGGTTTTATTCGTTTCTGGTTCGTGATGGTTAGGAGGAGGAGGAGGAGGAGGAGGAGGAGGAGGAGGAGGAGGAGGAGGAGAAGGTAGAGGGCGTGGAGGAGGAGGAGGAGAGAGGAGGAGGGGAGGAGAGGGGATAGGAGGGAGGAAGAGGAGGAGGAGGAGGAGGATGAGGAGGAGGAGGAGGAGGAGGAGGAGGAGGAGGAGGAGGAGGAGGAGGAGGAGGAGGAGGAGGAGGGAAGGGGGGGGGGAGGGGAGGAGGAGGAGGAGGAGGAGTAGGGAGGAGGAGGAGGAGGAGGAGGAGGAGGAGGAGAAGAGGAGGAGGAGAGGAGGAGGAGGAGGGGAGGAGGAGGAGGCAGGAGGAGGAAGAGGAGGAGGAGAGGAGGAGGCGGTGGGGGGGGAGGAGGGAGGAGGAGGAGGAGGAGGAGGGGGAGGAGGAGGATGAGGAAGAGGAAAGCGAACAGGAAAAAACGAACATTGTTTTCTCGTTTTCCACAATGGGTTTGCGAACCTCACCTTCGTGTACTATTGGCTCTATAGCCCCTGTGTTGTTTTCTTACGAGCGAACGGCGAAATTGTGGGTTTCCGAACCCCTTCTTCGTGTACTATTAGAATCAGTGGGCTTCCGAACCTCATTTTCGTGTACTATTAGCTCTATAGCCCCCTGTATGGTTTTCCTATCAGTGAATGGCGAAATTGTGGGTTTCCGAAGTCCTGCTTCGTGTACGCTTAAACTCCGACTATTCTATGTTATTCTATTTGGTTTTAACTGATTGTGTGGAACCGAACCCGAACCCGAACCCGAACCCGAACCCTTACCCTTACCCTTACCCTTAACCCATTCATTCTCAGTAGACACGAAGGTGAGGTTTGACCCTAGTAGTAGTAGTAGTAGTAGTAGTAGTAGTTATAGTAGTCGGTAGTAGGTAGGTAGTGGTGGTGGTGGTGGTGTGGTGTGGTGGTGGTGGTGGTGGTGGTGGTGGTGGTAGTAGAAGTAGTAGTAGAGTAGTGTAGTGGTAGTAGTCGTCATAGGCGTTAGTCTCAATCGTCGTAGTAGTAGTATCAGTAGTCGTAGTAGTAGTAGTAGTAGTAGTAGTAGTAGTAGTAGTAGTAGTAGTAGTCGTAGTAGTAGTAGTAGTAGTCGTAGTAGTAGTAGTAGTAGTAGTAGTAGTAGTAGTAGTAGTAGTAGTAGTAGTAGTAGTAGTAGTCGTAGTAGTAGTAGTAGTAGTAGTAGTAGTAGTAGTAGTAGTAGTAGTAGTAGTAGTAGTAGTAGTAGTCGTAGTCGTAGTCGTAGTCGTAGTCGTAGTAGTCGTAGTCGTAGTCGTAGTCGTAGTCGTAGTAGTAGGTAGTAGTAGTAGTAGTAGTAGTAGTAGTAGTAGTAGTAGTAGTAGTAGTAGTAGTAGTAGGAGTAGTAGTAGCAGTAATAAGAATGCTAGTGCGAGCAGTAGGAGTAGTAGGAGCAGTAGGAGCAGTAGGACCTGGAGCAGGAGAAGGAGTAGTAGTAGCATTAGGGATTAGTCGGAGTAGGATGAGGGATTAGAAGGAGTAAGCGTGCAAGTGCGATGACGACGACAGCGGCGTCGACGGTGAAGACGGCGGAGGCCTCAGCAGAAGCCGCCGCGGGGGGATACTTGTTTTCCCAGTCGGTCCCAGTCCTTCAATTCGCCCGCGCAGCAAGCAGTTAGTTTCCATGATGCAGAGCGGTGCATTCAAGACCCTCCGTGGTCAGCCGATCAGGGACATGGGCGCGGACGGGATGGTCCGCGAGTTCCAGGGCGGGCGCGCCTACCTGCCGCCCTCCGCGTACAGCGCAGAGCTGGACCCGGAGCCATCGCTCGAGGGCCTCCTGGACCTCGTGCGCGAGGTCGGCGGCCAGACGCTCGCGCAGGTGGCCGACAGGGGCGCCGCGCTGGCGAGGAGCGCCTCGGCGGGGGCTCAGGACCTGGGCGGGCCGGGCGCCCGCAGCTGCGAGGACCTCTGGGGCCATGCGCTGAGGCTCGCGGGGGTGCGCGTGCCCTGAGGAAAAGCGTCCGACGTGTCGGCCACGGGGCGCTGCTCAGGGGGGGATTTGCCGCATTCCATCGCCCAGGGGGGTTGGAATGCCGCCCCTGCGTGGATCGCTCCCGCCGAAGTTCCCCCGAGAGGGGGGGCTTAGGGGGAGGGCTTTTCTCGTAGGTAGGTCCTGGATCGCCCAGGGGGGTTCCAGGACGGACCGAAGGTGCGCGGTGCTTACAGTCAGCCCGTACAGTAAGGATGAGCGAGTTTTCCAAGGTTACCCTTGCATCCTTGCCCCTTGGACCCCTCCCTGGCAAGTTTCGCGGGCCAGCCCCATTCGACAGACGTCAACATGGCTTTCCAGGGCCCTTGCACCCTTACCCCGCATCCTTACTATACGGATTGACTGTAGGCGAGAACCGCATTTTAAATGGACCCGGCCTCCATCCTTGATCTGTTGTAAGTGTCAAGCTTCAGGGGCACAAGTGGTGAGGAAAGGTCATGCGAGACGCCTTGGCCCGCCCCACTGTCTCGTTTGGGAGTGCGACAGGACGGGGTTGCCTGTAAGGTAGGGGGATGGAGAAAGGAGGAGGAGGAGGATGAGGAGGAGGAGCCAAGATGAACCAACGATGCTGCAATACCCCATCCCGTCCTGCGCTCCGCCTTCCAAAGTTAGCACAGACCTTGCCTTCTTCACCGCAAGGAGCGCCACCCGGACAGGCGAGCACCTCTCGGGCCCGCCGTGCGGGCGAGGGCCCCGATCTGGAGACGACCTGCCCTGCATCCGTCCTGCGAGCAGGATGGGGCGCGACGGGGAATGACCACAAAGTGCAGCGAGGTGTCCAGGAGGAGGAGGAGGAGGAGGAGGAGGTGGAGGACGAGGACGAGGACGAGGAGGAGAAGGACGAGGAGGAGAAGGATGATGATGATGATGATGATGATGATGATGATGATGATGATGATGATGATGATGATGATGATGATGATGATGATGATGATGATGATGATGATGATGATGATGATGAGAGGAGGAGGAGGAGGGAGGAGGAGGAGGAGGAGGAGGTGTGTCTAGCGATGGCCCTGTCGTGAAAATCATCGAGCGCGTTACACTGCTCGCAAATGTGCCTGCTCGCAGACGTCCGAGCAAAACCATCTGTTTGCCTCGACGTAAGCTATCGTGAACCACCCGCGGCGGATCCAGGCCATCTGCGAGTGGTTCATTTTGCGAGCAGTGGAGCGCGCTCGTCTAGAAAGGGAGCTTATCCACATCCGTGTAACGGTTGCGCAAGTTCTCGCTTCTGGTCGTTGAGCTGGAAGAGGTAGGGTGCGACATTCCCGATTTGAATAGGGGCCGCCCTCCGTCCGTGCAGGCGTTGCATCGGTCCAGCCTTCTGGCCGCTAAGTTCGGGGAAGCCCCAGGAGGGGACTTATATATATATATATATATATATATATATATATATATACACATACATACATACATACATACATACATACATGCATACAGACAGACAGACAGACAGACAGACAGACAGACAGACAGACAGACAGACAGACAGACAGACAGACAGACAGACAGACATACATACATACATACATAAACAGCCGCCCGCCAGCCGTGTGAACTGTTTCACGGCGTGACGCTCGTGGTCGTATGTTTGAGGAAGTGTCGGGCGAAAGGCACTTCTTGGAAACGAGCTGGCCTCCATCCGTGTAGTTGCTGCGAGCTTTTACTACGATTTGCGTGATGCATTGAGGCGAGAGCCCTATTTTGGAAACGAAGTGGCCTCATCCGTGAAGCTTCGTACTCTCTTGAGACGAATGCGCGCAGTGCTGAGCTGTTACACGCCTGGAAACGAAGTGGCCTCTATCCGTGAGAGCGCCCCAAACTCGTAAGACGCGTGTGCTCGGCGATTAAGCGAGCTCCAGTTTGAAAGTACCCGGCCTCCATTCGTGTACTTGAGGCACTCTCAAAGGGAACGCCCGGCTTAGCCTATGGACACCCTTGGTGGCGCGGCAGGCAGGAGCTATTCTCAAGGAAAAGGGATGGAGGAGGAGGAGGAGGAGGAGGAGAAGGAGGAGGAGGAGGAGGAGGAGAGCGGTAGGCAGAGGGCGGAAGGACCTGGAAGGAGGGAAGAGCAGGGAAGAGGCAGGAGTATGGATGGCGGCCGCTCCAGACTGGGATTTTAAGCTGCGAGGACAGCAGCCCGAGGGCAGCTGGAGGGCAGCTTGCGGGAGGGAGGAGGACGAGAATGAGGATGTGGATGGGGATGATTAGGATGAGGATCAGGATGAGGAGGAGGATGCTGATGATGGTGATGGTGATGCTGATGCTGATGATGGTGATGCTGATAATGATGATGAGGATGCTGATGCTAATGATGATAATGCCTATGATGATGCTGATGATGAGGAGGAGGAGGAGGATGCTGCTGCTGATGATGATGATGATGATGATGATCAGTAGGATGCCGCTGCGGATGATGATTGTGATGATGCTGCTGATGATGATGCTGGTGGTGGTGATGATGATTCTGCTCCTGATGATGATGCGGATGACGATGATGATGACGATGATGATGATGCTGCTGATGATGCTGCTGCTGGTGATGACGACGACGATGATGATGATGATGCTGGTGATGACGATGACTACGAAGAATAAGAGGATTCTGATGATGATGAGGAGAGGGAGGATGGCGAGGAGGATTATGAAGATACTTACGATGCTGATGATGCTGATGACGACGACGATGATGATGTTGCTTATAATGAGGATGATGATGAGGATGCTGCTGCAGCTGATGACGATGATGATGGCGATGATAATGATACTGATGGTGATGATGATAATACTGATGATGCTGTGTATGATTATGATAATGGTGATGATGCTGATGCTGATGATGATGAGGATGGTGACGACGATACTGCTGCTGCTGCTGCTGCTGCTGCTTCTGATTATGATGATGACGAGGATAAGGATGAGGAGGAGGAGGAGGCGGAGGAGGAGGAGGAGGAGGAGTAGGTGGAGGAGGAGTCTAGTGGCAGCAGCGGTAGCGGCGACGACAAGGACCCCCAGAGCTGTCCTGGGACGCCTTCTGACCAGAATTCGTCGGCGGATCCAGCCGCGGCCGTGAGGGCGTCCCAGCTGCCCAAGAGGGCCAGGATCGCCCAAAGACGTCGAAGTGTCGAGCTTCGGCCGTCCATCCTCGGCCTCGATACTGTGGCGACTCTCTCGGATATGGTCGATGGCAGCAGGCGGGACGTGCGCCCGACGCTCTTGCGCTGTCTTGAGGCGTCCTTGCCTTGGGCTGTTTATTGGGGCCATCTTGTAAGGGCCTTGGGCTGCTGGGCCCCCCCAAGCCTTTTTTATCGCCAGCGTCGTGGGGGCGTTGCGGGGGCATGCGCGGGCGAGGGTGGTCGGCGGCAGCGGACGGAGGGCGCGCCTGACGGAATCGAGACCCGAAGGCTGGCTCTGTTCACTCCTCTCTTCCCCTCTCTCCTCCTTTGGCGCTCCGCCGTCGTTGACATATCTCTTGTTGCGTTCCCGGCCTTGTCCCGCGGTGCTCCGTCGCACGCCACGCTGCCATTCGTGCAGCGCATGCTGCTGTTGCGTGGGCGCGAAAGTAGCCAAAACGCCCCAAAGATCTCGATCATCGAGCCAGTGTGGATGTTGAGCCTCTGGTGCGTACCCGACTAAGTTGGCACAGGCATGCACTCTTCTCGCCCAGCCGCCCGGGAACGAAACTGTTGGCGACAGCTCGGCCAAGGACTCCACCCGAAGAGATCAGGGGTCACAGCCGATCTGCAATGTCTTGCCCCCTCTCGGCGGCGCGCCCAGGGGGGAAGGCAAGTCGGTGCGGGCCTTCCTCGGAAGGCCCCGCAGGCCTTCAGCCTTCTGATGGGCTTGCAAAGTCTCCGCCTTCCGACAGGCTTACGCAGCCTCCCATGACGTGCGGGCGGCTTCTCAGAAGGCCGGAGGGCTGCCGAGAAGCCTCGCCGCCTTCTGAGAAGGTCCGCCCCCTTTCACTTCCTTCGGTAGCAAATCATGGGAGCCTTGTGTGCCCTCGTAATGATGTTTTTAGCGTCGATGAGCGTCGACTAGCGTCCTGGAGTCGATGTGGTAGCGCCGATATCGCGTCGGTGAGCGTCGATTGACGTCCAACTCGGTGTCGATCAGCGTCGATTTAACGTCGAGGAGCGTGATTTTTGGCGTCGATGAGCGCCGCTTCGCAAGAGCCTACAAGATGGTATGGGAGGCTCCCATGCTTGGTCACCGAACACTTCCTCTCCTCCTTCTCCTCCTCCTCCTTCTCCTGCTCCTCCTCCTGCTCCTGCTCCTGCTCCTCCTCCTCCTCCTCCTCCTCCTCCTCCTCCTCCTGCTCCTGCTCCTCCTCCTCCTCCTCCTCCTTTTCCCTCCTCCTCCTCCTCCCCCTTCCCCCTCCTCCTCCTCCTCCCCCTCCTCCTCTCCCTGCCCCGCCTGGCCGCGCCGCCCTCCACCAGGGTGGGCCCTTCGGCCGCGGAGCGCAGGCCGGGGGAGGGCCGCGCCCGCCGCGCCGAAGCCGCGCCGCCCGACGAGCGGCCCCCCGAGGAGGCGCGCGGCACCCTGACGCTGGCGCCCCCGCGCCGCCAGGTCCGCCCGCGCCCGCTCGGCGTCGGCGCCCGGAGCCGCCGACGTCGGCGGCCCCTCGGCGGCCCCTCGGCGGCCCGGCTCCTTCTCCCTCGTCGTCGTCTTCTCCCTCGTCGTCGTCGTCGTCGTCGTCGTCGTCGTCGTCGTCGTCGTCGTCGTCGTCGTCGTCGTCCTCCTCCTCCTCCTCCTCCTCCCTCCTCCTCCCTCCTCCTCCTCCTCCTCCTCCTCCTCCTCCTCCTCCTCCTCCTCCTCCTGTTCCTCCTCTTCCTCCATTCGTTTTCCTTAGAAATAATTTCTCCCTGTCGCACCCCGAGGCCAGTTTTTAGGGCGGGCCGGGCATTTCGCCTGAGACTTTTCCTCACCATGTATGACTCTGACGCTTGAAAGAGTGACA